CAGCTTCATCAACAGGGACTCACACCCGACAAACTCCGGAGCAGGGATCCTATGAGGAACTAAAGACCCTCGGACGATGACAGCCACTCCTCCACCTCTTCCCTGGGATCGCGGCTGATGAAGCACCTGAAAACCTTCTGGGCACATTTCAGTGAGGGGGACTCCTCCCTCTGGGCCCAGCCAGGTCACATGCCAGGTCTGCCCCCTCGTCTAAAATTAAGTCCTGGACAAGGGGAGCTTTGTGAACCACAGACCTGGCATTTAGCAACAACAGCCTGAGACCAGGGCCCTGACAATTCTCGCCACCTGGCCCTGGAGTGGAACTAACAGGGCCGGAAGGAGGGATCTCTGTGATGTAGTGAACCCTCCTTCCCTGGTAATGGCCAGCCCTGAAGTTCCTGTCATACCTGCCCCTCCCCATAGTGACCGTAATGCTCCGGCCCTCCCCCGCTACCGTAGACCCCATAACCCCTCCCACAGCTCCCGCACCATCCAGCAGGCAATCCTTGCTACTATCGAGACCGGAGAACTGTCACAAACATCTGGCTCACACATATATAGGTGTTCCAATGAATTACCTTTCCATGTGAGTAAAGTATCATGTTCCAAACATAAAAAGGACATGAACATTATTGGAGGTAGCCACACAATTGGGAGGTTTCAGAGGAAGAACCATATTACTTATAATTGTAAGGTAAAAGGGGTTATTATTCATTCATTTCCAATCTGCCCAATAGCTGAATGGATTGCAAAATCTTTAAAAGTACTAAAATTACTAAATTTTGCTAAAAGTAGTAAAACTTACCGTGTTTCCCTGAAAATGAGACAGGGTCTTATTTTCTTTTGACTCCTAAAATAAGCACTTGGCCTTATTTTCAGGGAGGTCTTATTATTTTTGGGGTGCAGGAGGCAGCAAGCATGGTCAACTCATGGCTGCTGCTGTGTTGCAATATTTTTGGAGAGGGCTTATTTTTTGGGGGAGGGTTTATTTTAGTGCATGGACTCAAAACTCTGATTGGGCTTATTATCTGGGGAGATCTTATTTTCAGGGTAACAGGGTAGTAAATGCCATGAATGCATCCAGAGGATGCTTCAACTCAATCTGAGGGGGGGGGGGAAATACAGATATGCTTGGGAGGAGACGTGCCAAAAAGCCATCAGTGTGAGCAGCAAGGTATATCAGAGCATTAGCTCTTTTCTATTAACAAAAAATCTCAGTTGAGAAAATCCTTCTGATAATCCTTCTGAATCATTTTATCTGGCAAGGACATCCTATTCTTGTTCAATGCTAAATAGAATACAAAAATATCATTCAATCAGAAATATGAGTCCAGGCAAGTGGGAGGACCATACCAATACAAATGTAAAAAAATCCATTGAGGGGTAGGGAAGGTGGCAGCATTCAGGTCAGTTCAAGGGTCACTGTCTTCCCCTCCCACCATTCCACATTAGAAACTGACAAGAATCTTATTCCAGCACTGGAAGGCCATCAGTCTGTTCCAATGCATTAAAATGTAGAGAACTAAAACAAAGATTAGGATTAGAATAGAATAGAATAGAATAGAATAGAATAGAATTCTTTATTGGCCAAGTGCAATTGGACCAGTGGTGAGTTTCAATTTTTTTTAGAACCTCTTCTTTACGTGTGACCTGCT